GCCAGCCTGGATCTCCCTGGGCAGGTTGAGGTGTCCCCCCCACCCCATGCCCATCTCAGCTGTTCTGCTAGCTCAAATGGCAACTACTGGTGTCACTTATGAGATCCTAGAGCTCAGCTGGGTAGGAGGAGAACCTGTCCCAGAGAAGTTCTGGAACCATCACGGTGCAACACTGCATTTTCTCTCACTCTGGCACCAATCTCTCACTCTCAAACTATATGGTTCAGTTTTGTCTTCATTTCAGTCCTAGCAATCAGCAAGCATCACTACAGGTGATGTACCTCAGCTTATGGAACAATATATACTCTTGGAACATCGAGAGAGACAGAAATGTAATTTTAAAAATGAAATCCTACTTTGAAGACATCAATTGGGCTCTGAGTTTAAAGGCAACATAGAAAGAAATGAGGTCTTGAAGTAGGGGCAACCACTCCCTAGTTGAGCTGTTTCTAAACTTAGATCTTGTAAGTGGAAACTGTATCGAAGTTATTTTATAACTACTTTGAGGCCATGTCCTCGAAGTTATAATTATACAGAAAATTCTGTTTTGGCCTCCATTATCAGATATAGGAACATAAGGAATAATGCTTGGTCTGTATTTATTTACTCCATATTGTATTTTTTTCTGAGGAAAAACTAGGTCTAAGAGAATCATTCAATATAGTAATTGGATAAACTTGAACTTTGGCAAATCCTAGGGGTGAATCAGAGGTCAGTGGTTTTTAATCTTTTCATTTGTAAAGGACACCTCTTACGCCTTTCAGGTAGCCAATGTTCTGAAAGATACTATCCTCAAAATAAATTTATTTATTGGGAGAAATGCCTTCATTTTCCCAGAGTTTCTTCTCAGTTTGTGCTGTGTTAACCCAGAGCTGATTTAATTCCAGCCAAGGGTAAAGAAATCTGACAATTTCCTGCACAACTGCTTTCAGGAAATTTTATGATTTCCAATAAGCTTTTGAAATATTAAACATATCTCAGGAAAACCAATGACTACTTTCATAGTTGTCTAAGGGTCCTGGGTCCCCAGGTTTGACACCATCCCCCTATTTAATTTCAAACTTGCTGTACAAAACCCAGGAGGCTGAATAATTTCCCCAAAGAGGATCTGGTACTGTCAGCTCCAGCTTTCAGGGGGTCCAGGGACATTAGCGGAGAAGTCATGGAGGCTCACTGCTATTTCACACCCATAATGTGTGCCCAGGCAAGATCAAGCCACTTCCCCAATATTAAAGTCTTTAATCATGACAAACTGACAAGGTGGGTATGGCATGCCACCCCATTTTACAGACAAGGAAACTGAGGTGCTAGGAAGTGAAGTGGCTTGCTGGCCAAGGCCAAGTTTGCACATCTACACTGGCAGAGCTGGAATTTGCATCCAGGCAGTTTGACTCCAAGTCCCACACTCTTAACCCTCTGCTGTATTCCAGTTTCACGAGAAACCCGCAACCATTGTGCCTGAACTGAATAGGAGATATGAGCTAATGCCAATACTTAGTCACAAAGACAGTTTGGTTGGTTTATTGAAAAGCACAGCATCTAAGGACTTGAAGAACAACGAGAACCCCTCCCAGCTCCCAGAAAGGACAGACAAGCCATTTCTCTCTTCCTAAAAAAAATCAAGGAAATCCTTTAGTACCTGAAATGGTTTTTCTTGTCTTCATAAAGAGGTTTGACCAAAAAATTGCCTTCTTTCCTTTTTAATCTTTAGACTTCTCCGTAAAGAAAGTGAACACACTCCTCAGTGCACGTGGAGTGCTGGATTTCCCAGACTTCTTCCCCTCCACTCCATCAGAGATCAACTCCCCAAACTTTTGCTGAAATCCCTTGCCTTGAAGGCTGTCATTCTCCATCTTTTCCTTATTATGCACACAGGGGGTGTGTGAGTTTGAGGATGGTATAGATGCCTGAGCACTGTGCCAGATGTGTTTCAGAGAGATCTGCTCACTTCTTAATTGACAGAATACAAGGGATATGTCACATCTGAGCTTAGCTCACTGCAGTTGCCTCAGAAGACATCTGCAGAAAAGCACCGTGTCTAGAAGTATCCGGGTTGGGTTCATGTGTGAGCTGACCAATCAGGTGGGGTGGTGGAGGATCACACACCTGATGCCTGGACTCAGCTGCTCCCATGGAATGACGTGATTGGAGGCAACTCCTGCTGAAACCCATCCCCCCCTCCCCAAAGTTCTGCTATTTACCCACTGTCTTGGGATCTCAGCACGAAGCAAGATCGCAACTTACGTCTCTGCAGTTCTTTTCTGTGTGTGTTCTCCCCCCAAGATATGGCATTTTATAAGATTTTATAATGTTAAATGAAAGGAACAGTTCCATTGACTGGGGTTGAGAAATACGGGAAATTTCATGAGAAACGACTAATTCATCTCCAAACATTCCATCAGTTTCATTGTGGTCAAAAGCAGGTGTTTCCAGGCTGTGAATAAGTAGTTTGCATTTTAAAAATTAACAAATTGGACCAACACCAAGGGAAAAAAATACAGCAATAGACAGCCCACCAGAGAATTGTTTACCAGAGAAGATGAAGCTCATGGTGATGGTTTGCAAACACCACCAGACTAGCTTGTGTAAATTCCCTTCGTTTAGTCATCGTTCTTCAGCCTGTCACGGATACTGAAGGGAAATGCAGAAACAGGAAATTACAGACTATTTTAAACAGCATGTTTTATTAAACTCACTTGCTGATGCACTTTATGGCAGGATGTGAGATTCAAGTGTTCATAACTTACATCTTTGCAAGTGCTTTTCCTAAGTGAATTCTCCCAGCTAAAATATGGCAAGTACACAGGGCTGGAAATAATCTCTAAACTAGTAACTGAGTTACTCCAGGTCATGTAGCCACATCACATAAAATGGAGAAGTTTTAGCCAAGTGAAGAGAATCTACCTTGCTTATTCACTATACTATAACTAAGAAAGCACTGGAGGCATCGTGCAGTTAACTTAAAAGATCCTTAATGCATTTATTTTAAACCACAGAATCAAAGCACGACAATCTTAAAATGAAATCCTAGAAAACATACATTGTCTCTTTTATTATTTAAATATTGATTTCATTCTTCTCTTCACAGGACATTTCTGTATCTAGTTTAAACCACCATTATTGATGCCATGTTGAATCCTTATTTTTGAATAAGGCCTAGTAAAACTGGCAGGAATGTGATTTCACTACAAAAACAATGACTACAAATTTCAGGGACCGTCATAAAAGTGGATTTGAACAACTAATTATTTTCAAAAACGTTTTCTGCTCATACGTTGTTTGAGGGATATGAAAGCTTAGCTGCATTGCAAACAAATCCTCATATCCCTGTCTGATATTTATTGTGAGGCTGGCGCCTCTTAACGCCCATGTCTTCTGCAAGTTGTTCTTGGCTCTCTTCTTGATACACAGAAAAGAAGTACTCAAGGGAAGCTGTAGCGCAAATTCACGTTTGGAGGGGTGGGTAGCCATGCTTCGATGGAGTTATAATCTATGAGCTCTAAAGGCAAATACCTTACATTCACTGGCTTCAGCATCTATTTAACAAAGTAGCAGGCAAAATGTTCAACATTTCCATTGTCTTAAAAGATCAGGCCGAAGATGCTTTACCCTAATTATTGATTGTTGTCAGATAGTCACTGCCACTAGGTTTAAGTTTTTCGTTAAAGTTTTCCTCCCAGGTCCCTGTCCCTAGGACACCTTCAAGGTGAACTCTAGAATAATAGGATTTTAAGAGTGGAAGCATATAATGATACCTTTGCCCTTTTAAAGGGCCTTTGCCAGGCTATCCTCTACAAATCACACACTTTAAGAGAGCAAGGACCAGAAACAGAGGTTAATGATTTGGTTACAGACATGCACCTAGATGCCTAGGGGAGTAGCAATTAAAGGCACATTTGGGGAGCTGGGCCATTTTCTTAAGTGAAGGTTTCCCCTCATTCAACTTTTAAAAGTCTGGATTTGGCCATATGAGCTTTTCCTTAAAGCAAAGAAAGCAGAGCGATAAGAAAAGGTGTTACTTCCAGCCGGAGAGACAGCAGTGTGCTGTGGAGGGCGGTCTTAGCTTTTCCCATCTCTGAGGATATAACTATAGAACCCAATCCATAGACTTAACTATGAAGGGGAGCCTTGACCACTCTGGAAGATCTAACTTAACATCTCTTGAGTAGAAATCACAAGGTAGGCACAGAGGAGGCCCTAATGCTTTCACACCAACACCAGAAACATTTTTGTTACTTGGATGGGTGTTTAGGGATTATTTTTTAGTAAAGAAAAAGTATGCTGGAAATGTCCTAGAAACAAAAACTTGATTACTAAATATTACACATTTTAATGCTGCTGGATTCAAAGGCACCCGTCATCCTGCAAAGAAGCGCTAGTGGGTTCTGTGGAAAATTAAAAAGCAAAAATATAAGTCCTTTCTTTCATATTTAAATCTCCATGATGTATTACGCTCACAGTAAGAATGCTACTTTTGGCAAATTAACTAGCTTCCAACTAGCTTGCCCCTTTTATCAAATGAAATATTAGCCTCTAAGAGTCACAACAATACAAAATTGCATGGAATACTACTGGCAATAACCTCTGTAGCTATTTTAACCGTTTACATATGGGCCATCTTTTGACAATTTGACATTTCATAAAGGAATCAGCTAGGATTCAGTATTTATGGCTTCACGTTATGCTATTTTTTTCAGAAACTTTATAAAAATGAAAACCTTCAGATCCTTTACGATAAAACCTTATCGATCACAAACCACATCATTTACTGTGCTCTTAATCAACAGAAATCTAAACCTAGAAACTAGGAGCATTCTGAAACACCTGTTAGATGGGCCTCTCAAAGTACACTTTAACTTTGAAAACGCCTTTGGGGCCACTGCCCATGACAGTTTCTAGATATTTTGAGTTTTTTAAAGGAGAAAGAGCAATGGAAAAGAGAAACATAGCCAACAGTCATTAAAATAAGAAAATCTGAATGAATTTTGATCATTTTAATAAATATATATCAAGAAAACTTCACTTTATTACAACAACACAATCATATACAAGCATCTATCATCTAAGTTTTCAACATCAAATGTTCATCAAATATTGAAAATAAAGGACAAAACATCACTAGACTATTCAGGCATAACACAAGAACAGGTTTTAAAAATTGGTCCTTGTGGACATTGTCCAAATGATGATCCTACTCATACACTGTATGAATGAGACCTATATTTAATATTAATAGCAATAATAAAAAAGCTTTATCTTGGAGAAACTGGGAGGACCTACTTATTTCCTCCGTTTGGCATTTGGTTCCTGTGAAGTAGTGTGTTAAGGAGGCCCAAGTCAGCCAGTAACCTTGGAAATGGGAATACAGTTTAGCAGGCGGAGTTGGCTGGTGTGGAAGGAAGGATGGTCAGAGGGGTACTCTGAACATCCTTGCCAATGCACAAAGGAAAGAAATGATTGAGAAAAATGTTGACCAAATACATAGGAGCTTTTGCCGACTGAGTCCCATTTCTCCAAAATAACTTTCCCCAAACTAAAATCTTTACATTCTTTAAGATAAAACCTTATTGGTCACCACATCATTTATCAACATTGTGCTTCATAATCAACAGCAAAAGTCATATATAAAAAACCACATGCTTTTATAATCTAAACGAGTGAAATGATGCAAAACAGATTAAAGTATGATGCATGCCACTGGTTCATGAACTTCATTGGACAAGAAAACGAAACAAAACAACCCAAAACCCAGAAAACCCAAACCCCAGCAACAGACCGTTGCCATAGAAAAGCTCGAGCAGCCAGTGCTGGTTTCTAACAGCTCTGTCTATTGTTTCCTCCATCCCTTTCTAAAAATGCCAAATCCGAAAGCAATTGGGCATCAAAAACAAAGGAAGAATAGAGATGTTGAATCAAAAGTTGAACGCAATAGTTCGACATTAACGGTTTCCAAACAATATTGATCCACCCTGTGTGTTTATTTTTTCCTGTTTGTTAAATCCCTGCTGTACTCTGATTTATCCTTAATTTTCACATTGGCAAAAATTAAGATAAAGTAAGGCACCACAGATCGCCCTGTATGATATATCTCTAAAAGCCTCATCACCCATCACAGGCAAGCAGGGATTAGCCTCTACTCGTATTGTTGATTGCTGCCCCTAGACAGGTGTGCTTCGTTACGTCCTATTCCTGTTTTCATCTGTCACACAAGACTGTTGAATCCAAACACTTAACAGCACCAGGAAGCCATTTCACCTAGCTCCCTGTCTTCAGTCTTTTAGTCAGAAAAAAAATACTGTATCACAGAGAAGCAGCAGACATCCTTTGCTGGTTATATTGATTTGCTTACCAAATAACTACCTAATTAGGTGGCAAACAGGTGGAAGGTTCTTCGCTAGTGACAGGCTCCTGGAGGTCACGGAAATATCACAAGGGCACATTGTCCCCCATTCGAATCTACTGATCTTTTCTGTAAGAAAACTAAGATATACTTTTAAGCGTCAACTGTGTTCTCGGTAACGTCACCACACTTATAAGTAGCTCGCCGATGCCTACTATACAGGTGTTTTATGCAATCTGCTCTCCAGGCATGAAAATGACATGGCATGTTCATGGCATAATTGTATCAGTTGTACAAAACTCTAAAATCCATTCAAAATACAATTTATGAGAGCTAACTGATCATGCTGTGCGTGCGTCAAAGGTTCGGGGAGAAGACGGCTCATATCTTACTTCCTTTGCTGCAGCACAGTTTGTTACTTGGTGAAGGCTCCTTTTTCCTTAAGGACTTTTTCCACGACTCACTTACATTGCTCTTTTCATTATATCCAGTCTCAAAATAATCATAAAATTGGCCTTTGCACTCAAAAGCAAGGTCATTTCCCACAGGTTCATGGCTTAGGGGGCCACCATCCCTGTTGGTATCATCATTTGCTTTCTCGTTTAATCTGGCCTTTTCCTGGACACCAAGTGACCTCACGTTAGTAACAAAGATTTCATTGGCAGGTATCTGGCCATCCCCCTTGTAAATAGGTGCACTGCCTACATCAAAATCCACCTGGTGGGAACAGCTCGGTAAAGGCAGAGGGGGAGAGGAAGAGGAAGATGAGGAGGAGGAAGAGGCAGTGGTGGAGGCATTTCCGACATTAGCATTGACAGAAAGGGGTAAATTTAGGTAGTGACCACCACATTCTTGGTACAAGCAGCAGGCATGAAACTTTTCACACTCCTCTTTGGCCATCCGAGGTCGTTTCCGGTAAGGACAGTCTTGAGCCATAAACCACTCCTGGGCAGAGGTGCCATTGAAAGAGCAGGCAGGAAAGCACCAGTTATTCTGCATGATAATTTCTCCATGGATCCTTTTCATCAAATTGTTTATAAGGACAGATCTTCGGAGGTACACTTCAGGATCATCGATAAACTTTAGCTTTTCTAAGGACATATAAAGGATGTGGGCTCGTTCCTCAAAGACTGAGATGGTCTAAAAATCAAAAAAGGAAGAGAAAGCTTAGGAAATGGTCTATATTAAAATATCATCACAGCACATTTCTCTCTTGGCAGTTTCTGAGTCTGGGAGTCTGGGATCTTGTTTCCCCAGGTTCATTTAGAGATGCTGTCCCAGGGGCTGCTAATGTCTCCCCTTCCCAGCAGACTCACTGGTGATGTCGAGCACTGGGGAATCCAGCCACAATGCAGAACTCGGCAGGGACAGGTCAGGATGTCTGCTCTTTAATGGCTCGGTGAGGGGGATGCCGAAATGCACAAAACTAATCTATGCTGTTAGAAGTCAGGAGAGGGGGTTCTTTGGAGGGCAGAGAGGTAGTGACTGAAAGGGGACACAGGAAAGGTTCTGGGTTGCTGGTTATGTTGTTTCTTTATCTGGATGTTAGTTATAAGACTATTTCACACTTTGTGAAATTCATCAAGCTGGACTCTTATGACACTTGGGTCTTTATGTGACACATATATATTATATGTCAATAAATGCTTTTTAGAGTATGCCAACATGCAGGTCATCATAAGTATACTTCAGACCCTGGCCCAGCCGTCAAGGGGCATGAGATCTGGCTGTCAGATCTCATGGCTCTCTCTGGCTGTTTTTCTGGGTTTCATTCTTGCAATTATCTTTGCTTGATAGAGGCACAAAAATAATGAATGAGGCTCAAACCCTAAAAGGAACTGTTGGTTGAAGGGCCAAAGTAGGCTTTTTCTGGTGTTGGGCAGGAGGAAAGATGCAGAGAGGGAATCAGACGACTCACTCCTGAGCTGTGTGATACCATCACTGTGTGATCATTGCTACAAACCCAGTGGCAATTTGGAAAACTGCTATAAGCCACAACACAGAAATCAAAAAGGACTTAAAATGCTTGTGTCCCGGGGGCTAGCTCTTCCAGGTCATAAAAAAAAAAAAAAAAGCCAACCTGAGGAGCTGTGAATTAAGCCAGCCCAAGCTGACCTAACGGAGGAACTACAAATGCAGGGGAAAGCCCAGCACCTGCCAGTGCATGCTGATGACTTTTTATGAGCAGAGTCAAAGCAACATCTAAAGGGTGGGAGTGGGGGAGAGGGAGTAACAAGTGAGGAAGATGATTCAAAAATTAAAATCCTTCTCTGAGTTTCAAAAAACTCTGGTCTGGGTTATCCTCTCCTCGATTAAACCAGCAGATTGTTTTTGAAGGAAGGTAGCCATAAGGAAAAGGAACTGGTATTTCAAAAGCTTAGATAGCCAGTTTCGTACTTCTGTGCACTTTCCCAATCCTGTTATTTTCTTCTTATACATGCAGAAAAGTTAGCTTTGGTCTTTTCCTGGGAATGAATTATATATTTTAACAAATGAAACATGTGTAATGAATGCACCATGAAGGACGTTTCTTACTTTCATGCACACATTCAAAGGATGGTGAGTCCCCCGCTGAGAGGTGAGGAAAAGCCCTGGGTGACCACCCCCATGTAGGCACATACGTGTGGCATTGGCCATGGTAGCTGGAGCTCAGATACGGGGAACAGGTCAGGAAAGAACAGGTGCATTTCTGCACACGTGAAAGCACCAGTCACCATGACCCTTAATGCAACTTGAGAAAATGAAATCATTAGTAAAAAAGACATTCTTCAGATTATATAATTTTGTTATTTCTGGGCAGAGGAGCTCTTGCTGGCTCTTTCTTCAAATACTTGTGAAAAATAACACAGGACCCAAAAAAGTGACAACGATTAATATGGCTCTGCTGAGAAGTGGCTCATTTTCATTGCTTGGGTGGAACAATTTAATTTCTCGAAATGGATCAAGCAACTGTTACTAGGTATCTTAAACTCTTAATAAAAATAATGACTATTAAAAAAAACATACTTTATGGCTACAGCTGCTGAGTGGTGGGTGAAAATCCTCTTCTTCCACATACTTCCTCTTAAAGTATGTGATCTTGGATGTTGTTATAGGATTTGAAATTCCCCTGTAATGTGATCCTGTGGTAATAAATCAGATACGACAAATGACATGCGGTTTGCCAGAGGTTCTCCAAACAAAATACTTTCCTTGCCTTGCCTTTTAGAAGATAACTTGGCTACGTATTTGTCTGTACATGTGGTGATTAAAAATAAACATTAGTCTTAATAGTTGCTATCATACGGAATCCTGTGACCCAGGCTAGGCAAGGATTTCTAGACAATTATAGACGAAAATGACATATTTCAGCACTTACTAAATACTCAGAATCTTAACTCTATCACAGGCAAACAGCAACATTCATAAAGGGGAGTAGTGTAATAACCCTGAAATCATATTAGTATTTATTCCAATTATTTAATTAAACCCATGGTAATATAACACCACTGTTCAAATGTATATATCTTTAACTGTAAGCACTAATAACCAAATAACATTTAAATATTACTGGCTCTCAGTAAGTAAGCAAATTATTATCTGCACACTGGAGTCATAATATTCCTTCTTTTAAAATATAAAATTTTTAAATTTAAAATTCAGGGTAACAAAAGTCCTTTTTGCTCTCAAAAATGTAACATATCAACCATGAATAAAAATAGGGTCTAATTTTTAAAGAGCAAGCTTTTAATCCTTTTTAGCAAATCTGACTTCAACAAGTACTCATTTTACATTTTAGGTTTTTGGTTTTTTTCCAATCACTACTACTACACAAAAATCCAAAGGAACTCACCTTAAAGTATAAGAATAAAGAATCAGGGAGAGCATATTTTCTTCTGGGCTTAAAATTTTTTTTTTCCTATAATACCAAAGCCAATTGCACGCTTAATAAAAAGAAGAGCCACATAGCTGCTGGCCCAAAGTGCAGATCCCTTTATGTCTCATGGGATAAAGATTTCATTGTCAAGCCCACCAGGGCTTGTGTAGCTCTGAGAGAACCATACAGTTCCAGAAGGTAGAAAACTGAAACTCAAACTGAAGTTTCAAGATCTGGTTTGGTTCTCTTAAAAATACAGATGCCTGACTTTTCCCCGAAGCAGCAGCACATGGAAACTCAGGTTTGAATGCAATTAACATCACTCCTGGTCCTTTCCCTGGAGCCTTGGGCTCACTTATGAGCGGTACGCAGGCAGCCTGGGACGTCCCTGGAGCACGAGCTCTCTCAGCTCAGAAGGGCACCCCAGACACCACCGTTGCCCATCAGTCTGGCCGCAGAGGGCAGCAGGGGAAGGTCAAGGGCAGTACCTGCCAGTGGGGGACCAGCTCCCCGGTCTCCCTGCAGAGGAGCCTGTGCTGGCCCTGGGGGGCTTGGGCCTCCGTAGCTGTCAGCCTCCCATAGTGTCTGGTACCCGGCAATTTCAGCAGCTCCTTCCGAGACAATGGGCTCGCAGAATCTATTCATGGACAGAACCAGAGTCATCTCTGACAGCCTCAGATCTGAAAAAAAAAGAAAACAGCCCCAATCAAGAGCAAGCCAGGGGATGGCCTTGGCTCCTTCTTCGTTTGCTTTGGGAAACTTTTACGTCTCAGTCCTCCCCTTTGCCCTGAAACATTTTATTATTTTTTCGAAGAAAACCTCAGCAAACTCTCTTGCTGCTATTAGCGCAGCCTCTGTGCTCAGCAATCTGCATTTCATGGGCGGATCTTTAAAAACCCCATTTCTTATTGTTCTCAGATTCCCCTCAGCCCTCTTCCAGACAGCTGCTTTGCCTCCTAAACACATTTTCCTCCTGACCTTCCCGCAGAAAATGTACCGCTAAGAGGCAAGGCCAAAACCCTTGCCGCTGTCTTTCTATTAATAAGGCAAAATCAATTTTCTAGTCAATCCCCTGAGAGTCTCCTTTGATGAAATCCGCTAATCAATCAAAAGAAAAGGAAGGAGGAGACAGAAATCTTCCCCGGAATCCCTACTGATGCTCTCACGTTCAGTCTGTTCCGCTGCCCGCTGCCCCCTCTTCCTCTGTTTCTGCAGGGCCAGTTCCTCCACAGCATTCTGGGGCTCTCTCCACTTTCTTCTCCCAAAGCGAAGCAGACAGAGACACACTTGGTAGTTGTTTCCACCAGCCCTGATTGGCCTGAACTGGATCTGCCTCCAGTCAAAACACTGGGAGATGAAGACAGAAAATTGGCTCCAGTTTCCAGCCATGAGTTGCAGTCCCACAGGAGCCAAGCACAACATCAACGGAGCAGGAGGAATATTAAACAGGAGCCAGGGCTTCAGGGCCAGAGGCAGCGGACAACTCTACACCGCAAAGCCCAGAGGCAAGGCAGAAACTTTCCAAGAGGCAAAACACCACTGCGCTTCTGTCCAGTTCACGCCCTTCCCTAGGGTCTGCGGGGAAACTGGGAGGCTCTCTACTCTTGGGATGCGCCCTGGGCTCCTCAGCACCTTGGGTGGTGGGGGCCTTTCCCTGGGGGCTCAGTGTCTTCACCTGGTCCTAAGTAGGGCTCAAGGTGGGGTCCAGAGTGAGTGCAAAGGAGAAGAGGATCTAAAGCCAGAAGACCTCGGGGCCATAGATCAGTGGTGACTGCAGAGCGGCCTCAGTGCCTTATTATCCACCAATTCCTTTACGAGACCCAAACCTCCACTATCTCACTTTGCCGTTTAAAGAACTGTCACAAAGAGTGATGACAGGCCTGCTTTCTTGAAGATTGATTGTCTTTCAAATAGACGCTAAGGGTCTAGTTCTTGCTTTCTTCTCCAAATTATACAGCTTGTAATGTTTGGGGGAAAGAGTGAATGTACTATTGTCTCGTGGGAGACTATTATTACCTACATGTTATAACAAGGGTCCACTTCCAGGTAAAAGGAGGAAAGGCACAAGGGGAAGGGCTTCATTAAGTAACAATGGCCTTCTGGCTAACAGAGCAGCTCTTGGCAGCAATGACTCCATCACCCAGACTCCTCTCTGAGACCTGAAATTCTGTCCCAACCTCACTGAAGAAGTAAGTCAGGCCTTCTGACATACAGGGGAGGTGTCCAGGTCAGTGGCTGGAATTAGGACCCAGCTGATTTGGGCTGCTAAATTACCTACCCCCTTTCTTTTAAAATGCCCTCCAAAGAGGCAGCAGCAAGGACTTATTAGAAAACCTTATTTCAAGAGAATAAAAAAGGTTCAATTAATTCTCTAAAAAGAAATGATCGGACATGCCATTTATTCTGTTCTTTGAGTCATCAATCAAGAAATTTAGACCACACTGATTTCACAAACTATCACCCCTCAAACTCGACATCCAAACCAAGTATTTATTTCCTGGAAGACTCTTATGAAATGGTCCAATTTCTTAACTTATCTAAGAGACAACTGTATCAGGAAGTGCTATTGCCAGGAGCACATGAATTATATAGCTTTTTCTCAGAGTCGGTAGCCCCTGTCTCATTGACTGCCACAGTATTTTCTCGTTTGAAATTTACACTCACTTTGTGCTAGATTCTGGGAATAAGATCCAAGCTTTTCGCCTACGTGGAAATTTTATTACATATAAACCAAAGCACGTTGACAAATCCATATTGCATAAGGCAGAGAAGCATTTGCAGGCCCCTAGCAGCAATTACCTTTGTTTAAAAGGACATTATATGGGTCCTGTGCTATTTTATGTTAGTAAGAGTTTGTTTATATTTTAATGACTTATCCTTGTAGCTTTTTGGTTGTTAAGGATTTCAGCGTTTCTATTTGTTAGTATTGTTTCCCGCATGAAATTCTACTCATGCATTTGAACTTGAAACATGGCATAATAGTTTGTATCTTGGCTGTTTCTTTCCTTTTATGATATCTAGTTTCAGTAAGTTTTTCTTTTCTTGAATGGGAAACTTTTACACACAAAATCCTAAACTGGAGAGGTGAGTTCCAAGAGTGATTTATGTAAGTCCGAATAAAAAAATAAATGAGTTGGGATTATTTGGGAGCAGGGAGGAGATTTTGCAATTGAATCTTCCTAGTCTATCCAGAACTTACACTGGGATGTTAGGAAATTAAGAAGGCAAGTTCAACGTTCATGAAATATTGGAGTATGGGGCACGAAACCATGATTCTTTTTATTTGTATTATATGTACAGATCCAAACTGTAATTTTTTCTCAGTACAATGAGATTTACATTATAATTCTGCTACTGAGTTCAGAAGTTGAAATTCACAAATTTGTGTGCTGTTAATACTAGACTCACAAAGATGTACATATAGAGTAAATTTTGTTTTTTTTTAACATCATTGGTGAGTGAATTCAAAAGAACGGTGTTAAAGTGTGTTTTGTCTACACAAGTGTTTAAAAAAAATAAAAACTAGAAAGGTCCTAACCTTTTATCCTCAGGCTCCTGCATGTCTGTTTCGTCAGCCAAGGGAATGTAGCAGAATGACACCTCAAGCATTCCCAGAAGGCCAAGGGCTAAAGTGTCAAGTTTTTCCAGCAAATGTTCACAGTAAAGTTACCAGGCATTTCTATACAACTTGGTTTTTCCAGATGAGTTGGGCTTCTTCTTTCCTTGGAGCCATGATGATGCTAATAGAAGTAGCACACATAACAGGGTAGCTGCAGATTCAGTGATGCCTTCCATCCAACAGGCGATCCTGGTCACTCTTTGCCAACCCCTCCCCTTCATCCATCATTAGAAAACATTTTATTAAGAGCATTATAGAAGTTAGAGGTCTGATTCCAATACTGAAATGCAAGAAAGTAAAGGGCTGGTATTTTCGATACACCTTTGACACTGCCGGTCTTAGCTGTCCTGCCCAGGTGTAATCAAGTCCTTGACCTGACACTGTTCCTAACAAGACCTCAACAGCTTGTCCAGCTCGTGGTAGTGGTGGGGGTGGAAGGGGCTGGGTGGGTGGAGTGAAATCCTTCAACCCTTCTAAATAGAGAGATACTACTTTTCTACGAGTCCCAGCAGTACACCTGTCTGCCCTGGGAAATACATTTCCTCAGCTGCAGTTCTGAAAGGCCAAAATCTTTAGGTCGGGTTCTGGGGCTGGAATGCGGCTGCTGAGCAGGAGGGAGACGAGGGGGTGCCCGGGTGCCCGAGCCCGGGAGCCAGGTCTCCCCATCCCAGGCCTAAGACTGGGGTCCGAGGTCTAGAGACCCACCCCCTGCAGGCGGGCAGCAGATACCACGTCCGAGTTCCCACACTGACACACCCTCGCGTGTCGGTGCCGCAGCCCAAGCCCCTCTCCGGGGAAGCGGGCAGGGCCCTGCAGGCCGCCGACCGAAGGAGAAAGTAAACAACATCCCAAGTGTCTGGGAACAAAGGCAAGTTGTCTTTCCACGGTGCTGGAGCCGTGCGCCTCTCCTGAAGAATAAGAGCTATGATTATTCTTCCTTTTCTTCTTCTTCTTTTTTTTTTTTTTAAACCAAGTTTCCTTCTAAGGGCAATAAACACCAAAGGTAGGATTCCAAGGAAATGACTCACGGCGGTTGGCAGGGCTCTAGAGAGGCTGGCCCCGGCCCGCGCTCCAGCCCGCAGCAGATGCCTGCCCGGCCCTCCCCCCTTCGCCGGCCAAACCCACTCGGAGCCCGCGCCTGCGGGATCGCCCTGCGCATCCGTTGGAGCCGGGCGGCCAGGACTCTGCCCGTGCCTCCCGCAGGCGCCCGCCGTGTCCGCGCCACCCTCGGCCGCGGAGCCGCCTCTCCCCCCGCCTCTGCGGTCCCGGCCGGGCACTCCGGAAAGTTGCTAGGGCAGTGGAGGCGGGAGGGGAGGCAGGGAGGAGAGAGGCGGAGGCGTGGACCAGGCGGGCAGCAGCCGAGCCCGCCGGGGAGGTGAGCTGAGGACAGAGGAGCCGCCGCCGCCCGCAGCGCGGCTCGGCTGCCTGGGAGGAGAGTGCGGGGGCGGAGGTGGCGGGGGGGACAGAAGGTGTCAGCTCCTGCAGCTATTCCTTTTTCTTGCAAACGCGCGCTCCTGACATCCACCATCCCTCCCTCCCCACCTGCCAAGCGCCGCGGCGTCCAGACCTGGTGGCATCCCTCCTACTGACCCCCGTCCCCCAGGACAAGGGAATAGGCGGCCACCGAGGACCCTGGGGTCTCACTAGAGCTGTGGTCCCCACCCGCCCCTAGACTCGCCTCGGTGCGCGCGGGCTGCAGCGCGAGCAGCCCTAGAGGCGGCGGTGGTTCCCGCCCGGGTAAAGGCTCCGCGGCGCTCGCCAGCGCCGGGAAAAAAGCCCGCGCCGCCTCCGCGCCCAGCAGCGCCCCGGCGCCCCAGCCGCCCCGGGTCCCGCTTTGGCCGGTGCGCGTCCACTCGGTGACCCCGGAGCAGCCCCGGGGCCGGAAGGGCGCGCGGGAGCCAGTCAGCCCCAGAAGACGCCCGAGGGGACCGGCTGTCGCGCTCCACCCGGCCCGGCCTCTCCGCCCCCGCCGCCCGCGCCCAGCCCGGCTCTTACCGCGGGGTCAGCCGGAAGGCGGCGGCCGCGGCTCTCGAGCTGCTCCTGGCCCTCTCCGGGCTCGGCGCCAGCCCGGCCGCCGGTACACACTCGCGCGGGTCCCGGCCCAGCGGCCCGGTCGGCGGTGGCCGCTGGAGCGCGGCGGGCGAGGGTCCCGGCAGGTCCCGCCGCCGCGACTGGGGTGCTGCGCCGCCGTCGCTGCAGACGGTTATGGTAATGAGCGGCTCTGTCTAGCGAGGAGCGTGTGAAACCCGTCAATCCTGTTTGCCATTTCCCCGTGGATTTCCGAGGAGAGGTTCTGCAGGATGCCCCCAGGGTGAGAAAAGGAACATGACAAGCGCGCCCGCTCTCCTTCCCTCCCTCCCTCTGCTCCCGCCGCCGCCGCCGCCGCCGCCGCCGCTCTTCAGGCAGCACACGGGGCGCCTTCCCCTCACCCCAGCCCGCCCCCTGCCTTCTTCCCTCCTTCCCGCCCTCCCTCCTTCTCTCCTCCCCTCCACTCCCCTCCCCTCCCGGTGCCCGGGGACACGCGGGCCCAGCTCCAGCCCGCAGCCCAGACCCCACGCGCTCCCGGGCTCCCGCCCCAGCCCTGGGGGCTCGGCTCCAGCCGAATAATGTATTCACTCTGAAACCTTCTGAGATGTCTTCTCTTTTTTTATTTGGTTTACTTTTTTGTTGTGCGTGCGTGTGATTTAAAAGAGAAAGAAAGAAAGAAATCTGTGCCTTTCCCACCCTTTGCAAAAGACTTTCTTCTCCTTTGCCACAGCAAACGGAGATGAGAAACAGATGTCTTTGCAGGACCAAGCAGTTATTCTCCCCTCGCCACCCGCCCCCGCCCCTCTGGAGCTGTATATGTATAAAAAAGCAACCTTGGTCAGACTGCAACTTGAATTGGTAACTCCTTCTGGGTGGGGAGCCTCAAGGGAAAGCCTCCAGGAAATAAAAAAGTAATAAAGGAGGCTGTCCTTGGTCAAAAGAATTTAATTTAAGCCCCAGAATCACATTATTTTGCAAATAGTAATTTCCCCCTATATTGGACTCAACTGGAGTTTGTGTTTTGAAACATTAATTCATAACTTCTGTCTAGGGACCCCTCCATAGTCGAGATGGGTCATTTCAGGCGTAATGAACACAGAGGCTTGGAAGGCATAGACCTAATAAAATGGGGGGGGGGGAAGGCACCTGCACAAAAGTGTTACAAAGACTGTAATGTTTGTTTACTGCTACTATGCCAGATGTGCTAAATATAACACTTCTTTAAAACAGAGATCCTCCGACTGTGAAAAACCAAACCTCTTGCTGCCTGGCTCCCTAGGAATCAAGAGGAGGCACAGACTGAAAATCAGGGAGAAAAGGAACAAGATCAAGGATGAGGACTAGCATCTGCAAATTGAACCCTATCTAATTTGCATGTTTATTTCTTAGAATTGTAATTAAATTTGTGTAATAAATGTTTTCCATTTCATTTGTACGCTTAAAATTTGGGTGACTGACATGCAGTTAAGTGAATTTCTTTTTTTTAAAGCAAATGTAGTTTATTCAATAAGGCAGCAAACAAATATTAAACATAATTAGAACTAATCTGCTTTGAAGGTATTTTTGCTGAACTTTGTACATTAAAGACTCTCAGAGGTTTTAAGGGTATTAGGAAGCTGAGAGAAGGCAATTATGCTGAAAACAGACTAACTCAACAGACTTCCAGGAGCACTATTTCATTTTTTCCAAAAGGCATTTCAGGGTTGCATGCCTAGGATTGGGAATTGGGCATCCATCTTGGCTTTATTCTGAACCAGATTAAATTGCATTGGCTCATGCACGATATATAGGCCATTATGATGATAATTTAAGAATTGTAAAGATTCTACCCAGGTTATGGATAGAACGTAATTTTCATTTAGGTGGGGCGAGGAAAGGCATAAGGGCATTTAAAGCAGTGCAAGTACTTGAAAATCTAAGTGTCTAAAACTGGTTAGTGCCTAACTCAAATAAAGAACTAAATGTGAGGGCTTGGAGGCATGGCTTATTATTGTTTTTATCTGCCTGTATTAAAGTTTTATAGCATTTAAAGGACTATGGGGAAATCCCCACATACCCTTAGCTGTGTCAAAATACATAAAACCAAAAGGAGCAAATTAAGCATAAAATTGAGAAAAACATGAGACTTAAGTATCAGCATGGGTTGCATTGGCATCTTTGGAGCCTTGGCTCTGAGAAATGAGCCTTCTGGGAAACTGGCATTGCCCTTGGGTGGGGAGGACTCTTGGCTTTAATGTTATGAGAAAATGACATCATAACAGAAGTATGAAATCATTTTACTTCACAGCACCCTTGTGGTTCTGAGTAAGAACTTGACCCTGTCCTGTTCAGATATGTTAGGTTAGCATGTTTTACCGAAAGCTTTCCCTGGCCTACTTTTAATCTCAAGCTTAATGTTTGCAGAAATTCAGGGCCCGACTGTTGACAACAGGAACTAATGTCTACAGGCAGAGGAGGCAGTCAAATGTCCGTGGAATGAGAAACATCATTTAAAAATTTCAAGTGAGTAAGTGGTGGCTATGGCACAAGGAAAGGACTCACTCACTATACATCAATAATGAAATATTTGGAATGAATGAATGTAATTTATGAGCTGCAATATTCAACCTGAGAGCTCTGACGTCATCATTCCTGGATGTGTGTGCGTGTGTGTTTGAAGTTCCAAGACAAAAGTTTGATTATGAAACTTAAAATATCTTGAGCTGCAAATTCACTGAAGACCATGATTATTTTTCTTCAGTGAACAAAGAGAGTGCCAGACTTAAAACTGCTGAAACCCATTTCTCAAAAACTTGTTATCATTTGAAAGGGGGATTTCTCAAGTAAAATTTGACGTATTCAGATTACTGTGGACACAGTGCCCATTTGGGTTATAAAAAGTCGGAATTACTGGCATTTTTTAAAAAGTGCAACCTTTTTTAACAACAAAAAGAGATATCTAATATTAAATCTCTCCAATTCCTCTTCTCTTATTCTCAAACCTTCTCTAATCAGGCTTTCTTATCCCATCACTCCATTGAAACTGTTATTGTCAATGACACCAGTGACCTCTGGGTTGCTAAATCCAAAGGGGTTTTCTTGGTTCTCATCTTTCTTGACCTGTAAGCAGCATTTGACCAGGATGATCACTCTCTCTTCCTTGAAAACTTATATCCTGTTTCCAGGACAACATACACACCTGGTTTGCCTCCCACCCTACTGGTTCTTCCTTCTCAGTCTCCTTTACTGATTCTCTGTGACCTCTGAAAGCTATAGTGCCTCAAGCCCAGTCATTGAACCTTGTCTCTTCCTTCTAACCACTCTCTTGTGGAAATCACTCAGTCTCATAGCTTCAAATACTGTGTATATTCTGATGACTCCCAAATTTAGATCTCCAGTCGAGATTTTTCTCTTGATCTCCAGACTCCACTTAGATGCTTAATAGACATCAGAGGATTTACAGATCAAATTCCGGATTGTCTCTGTTCCCCCTTCCTTAATATTCTCCACTCCAGTTAATAAACCACACTATAGCTTTGGAGTCACCCTTGACTCTTTTTTTCCTTTACACCCTACATCTAATACATCCAAAAATCCTTAAGGCTCTACCTTTAACGTTTTTCTAGACTCTGATCACTTCTCATTATCTCTGCTGCCACCACCCTGGTCCAAGTCACCATCATCACTCTTGCCCGGGATATTGCAGTAGCCTCCTCCTTGCTTCAGTCTCTGGTCCTTTCTACATTCAGTCTCAACCCAATAGCCAATGATGTCAGTTTTTGCTCAGACTCTTCCTAACGCTCTCCATTTCACTCAGTGTAAAAACCACATCCTTACAATGGCCTACAGAGGCTGCAAGTCTCCCTTTACTTCTCTGACCTCACTCTGTCTCCAGCTACTTTGGCTCCAGTGTGTCAGGCCTGTGCTTACCTCCAGTTCTTTCTGTTCCTCCAGTATGTCGGGCCTGTGCTTACTTCAGGACACTTGCAGTGGCTATTTACTCTGTCTGAATGCTCTTTCCCCAGATAGATGCACAGATCAACGCTCCACCTCTTCCAAGTCTTTGCTCACATACCACCTTCCTAACAAAGCCTGACCACTCTGCTCAAAATTCTAACACTTAATCTCCATATCTTATTTTATTTTTATCCAGAGAATTTATCACCTTCTAGTAAGTTCTATATTTTATATATTTATTCTATTTATCACTTATCCCTTCTCACTAAAAAGGTCCTTGAGGGCAGGGATTTTTGTCTTTTTTATTCACCCCTGTATCTCCAGCACCTAACACAGTGCTTGGCATACTGAAAGCGCTCAATAATTATGTACTGATTAACTGAGCAATTAACGGACAGCTTCACATATGTACAGAAACCCAAACAAGGCTAAAATAGAGCTACTTTAGTCTAGTGTATGTAGAGTGGTGAAACACGCAGTTCATTTTATCACCTACTCATTTGCCTGTTCCAGAATTCTCTGACCCAGTGCTCTTATCTGCCCTGCAGCATTCCAGGACCTGAAGACACTCCCAAGATCCCCAAGCACCCAAACTGTTTCATGCTGTCCTGCCTTCACTGAAAGTCCCCAGTACCATGTTTTCATCCAGGTGGGTGCTCGTGCTCTGGACCAGCCCTCCTTTCCGCCAACGCAGATTTCCATCCATTGCCAAGATGCTTGTCCTAAGCCATAGTCTTCAGGTTACAAAGTATGTAAAGTTGCTCTCCAGAACCCTGTAAAGTCACTTCTTGGCAAAGCCACCCTTTCAGAAGCCAGGAACTCCTCTACTGTCTTTTTCATCCTCCATCAAAACTTGCTAAGAAACCTTCAATAATTATGTGCATTTTATATGCGAGCATTGAGCTAGGAACTGCAGGTGAGGTAGAAATGAATAAGACACTGTTCCTAGACTTAGGGAGTTGTCAGTATAGTGAATAGCATAAGACAGGCATAAAAATAATGATACTATTTAGTAATTCAGGGAGTAGTAGCTGCCATGGGAGTTCAATGGTGGGACAGATCACATCCAGCAGTGGGGAACTCCAGAAGGACTTATTGAAGAAAGCAAAATTTGAAGTTGACCTTGAAGGATAGGCTCTTAATGGGTGGAAATGGAAAATGGATGAAAGTATTTCAAGTGGAGGAAACCATTTGAGGCACATAGGTTGGAAAGCTAAAGCCATCTTCAGACAACAGTGAGTATTCCGGTTTTACTAGAGGGGTTAAAAAAAAGCATGTGAAAGTGGAAGGTAGATGAGGCCATAAGTTAATAAACATTGAAAACCAAGATGAGTTTGATTTTAATTTAATGGGCAATGGGGAGGAATAAAGGGTTTTGAATTGGAGAATGACACAATCAAAGCCCAGCTTTAGGAAGAGTAGTGTACAGTGCAGAGTGGTGTTTCAGCAGCCCAGGTGAAGGGAAATGGGGGTCTGTGTTACAGTGGGGGTCCCTGGAGATGAGGAAGGAGACAGGTACGAGATGTTGCAGTGTTGGAATCTTTAGGATATTATCATTGATTGGTTGTGGGGAAGGGAGGAGTGAAAGATGACTCTGAGGTTTCTGCTTGAGTTACCGTGTGGTTAAGTGAACCCACAACAAATGAGAAGAGGCAAGTTTGAAGGGAATAGAATGTGTTGCCTCTGCTTATGTTGCGTATGAGATGTTCGCGGAACAGACAGATGGAGATGTCCAACAGACAGACATCTGACTATTCTGGTCTAGCTGAGGATAGAATTTGAGAGCAAATTATAAAAATTTAGGATGATTTCAATAACTATGGAGGTGGAAGTCTTAGGACATGATGAGGTAATTGAAGACATTACAGAGAGTTTAAGAGTGAAAGGCTTGGGTCAGCACCTTGAAGAATCTGATAATATTCAGAGGTTAAAATAGTGTTTTGGCCTAATGTGTGACCTCTTTCAGGGTTATTTGTATTTAATGGCGGACTAAGACCCTTTTGGCTTAAATTTAAAAGAAGAAATTTGGGATGGGTTGGTGGATGGGGGGTAGCAGCATTCTTTCCTGACTATCCTGACATCACAACACAGAAGTGGTTATATGCTGCGCCTCCTCGTGTGACTGAGTCTACTGATTTGCCATCACAGGTGGAAAGGGATTTGATATTTCATCAAAGAATCTTGAGAAAATCCCTGAAAAGATGTAAATCATTGATAACAAGCTTGGAGTGTTTTCTCTCAGGGATATTTGTATTTTAATAGGAGTCTCCTAAATACCACACAAATTTTAATCAAAGTAATTAATAATGACATGATTTCAGATATAACACAAGCCAATAAATATTATTTCTGAATGGAAATCACACAACGTATATGATCCCTTGTTCAGCGTACTCTTTGGGGGCACCTATATTAGTGACTAGGTAGGAATGGTTTACAGTAAGTGTACAAATTATTTGTAAAGGGACGTTCTTCCAACATACTTGGTAATTTTTGCCATTTAAAAATTTCTATTAAAACACTTTTAATGCTGTTAATCTTGTATTAGCTACAAGAGTGTGGCGCTTGGGTGTACATCACCCTTACTATTCAACCCAAGTCTTCAGGGAAAAGATGGATCCACGTGAGGCATGAAAGTTGGGTGGGACCTGGATAACCAGAGGTGGGGAGGGAGGAACCCCCCAAGAGGATTAAGGGCAAGTGCTTACATGGTGTGATCCAGGGATGAGGGACTGGATGGATAGAAGCCAACTCTAAGGTTTAAATCTTCATATTTGGAAAGATGGCAGTGCTGTTGTCGGAAGGAAGAATTATGTGAGCAAGAAATGGTCAAAGCGTGTGTGTGTGTGTGTGTGTGTGTGTGTGTGTGTGTGTGTGTGTATTGGGGGTGGGGTGGGTTTAAAGTTTTTACAATATGAACTTTTTACAGTATTCATTTAGTAAATAAATAAATGAAAAGTGGTGATATGAATACTTTATGGATATATCACCTTTTTCTGTTAAACTATTTTCCTTTTTTTTCTTCCAAGGAGATCTCCCCACCCATATTCCTTTCCTTCCTTTGGGATCAAGGGCCTGTACAGTTTTTTCTTGACCAAAAACTTAAACACACGTGTTCACCTGTGCCAGAGCACTAGTCCAGAAGTCTGAGTTACTGAATAAAGAGGTGCGGTGTTTCATCTAAATCCTGAAGACAGATTTTGGCGAGGCCAGGGAGAGGCTAGGCAGGGTTGCAGGAGGGGATGCAGAGCTGGCCAGCAGAGTGGACCCCAGTTAATCTTAAGCCTGAATAGAAATCTCACCACATAAACAAGGGTAGGATCCAAAATTCACAATTCTGTCATCCTTTTAAAAAAAGACATAAACCAAGGGGAATGAGACCCCAAAAGGGGGCAGTCTGTAGAGAAACTGTAGCTACTTGCAATTTGATTTCAAAATCCCTTTCCTACTTTATTTACAGATAAGTACATTGTTGTAAAACAGATAAGCTAAACATTTTATGAGGCTTAATATCAGAAGAGCAGGTTATGTTTATGATACTATGTCATCATATCAAGAAGCATTTATTAAGTCACTAATAATTGCATTGGCACATAGAGAATTAATACAACATGGTTCTTTCAGGGGCTTGAGGAGTTGGCGGTATTTTCTCGGACTCGCCTTTTGTCTTATATATGTGTAATTTCTAGAGGTCTTTTCATCTTGGTGCATAGCTATTCTATTTTTTTTTTTTTTTTTGCAGTTTTTAAAAGATTAAAGCCTCAGAGAAGAGTTTTGGTAGCTGGCGAAGGCAAGGATGTAATCTGATTAAGTAAAATTTTAAGCTATATAAAATTATAGAGATTTAAGTGTGACCCTAATTACATTTATTAAGTATTACCCAATTTGTTTTAAGTGGTATGCTGTCTCTTTACTGAACGAATCAATACTGGGTTTAAGTGAAATATGTGTGCTTTTCACAAGCATGTTTGATTTCCACAGGTCAAACATTCTATAACAGAGACTAGGAGAAGGAAATCAGTATTGCGAAGGCATAAAGCTCTAATTAGGGTGAAAATGTAAGGGAAATATGTGGTTATCATTCTGCCCGTCTGTAGGCATTAGCTTGATTTCGATCTACTTCATATAATGTCCATGTACACAATGCCAATAGAGTAAACCAACTGTATCAATAACTAGTGTCAGGAAAGGGGAATAAGGAATCATGTTTCACCAGGGGGATAGTTGAAGACAAATTTGTCTTTGAGCATTTCGTTTTGTATTCCTAGTTTCTGAGTGATATAAAATGCATAGGCATATCAAAGTTCATAACATAAACTGCTTATGCCACCAGGAAGATGTATTTATTTTCAGTAACGTAAAGGGAAAAGCATACAATTGAGGTGGAGAGAGAGACAGAGACAGAGACAGAGAGACAGAGAGACCTACAGCAGACATCACCTGAGTGGGAAATTACACATCCTGCACGCACACGCCCGCTCTGCACACACATGCACAGAATTCATCTCTGACAATTTAATTGTTTAATGGTAGGACTAACAAGGAATCCTTTCTAAAGTAATGGCATATAAAGGCTTCCTAGTGAAGTTAATATTCCTGCTGCATTTGATGGGTGTTTCCCATTTGTGCAGTTCTGCCCTAACAGACTCCTGGCGTTTGATGGGGGGGAATCAGGAAGGGTGGTGTGTCTGTGCTCAGTTGCAGAATCTGGAGAATGCCTTAGCCTGTGACCTTAGCCTCGAAAGCAATAAATCCGAGGCCATGATTGGCACCAGAGCAATCGCTCCCATCAGTTGTAATGTCTTGGCTTGCAGTCTGAGGATCTGGTCTTCGTGGACTGTAGGCTGGGTGTTTTGAGCACAGGGCCCTTGCTTCTTATACAGTTATCTGTTTTCTCTTAGCTCACTAGAACCAGGATTTGGCAGCCATTTGTGCTGAGTTTCAGGACGCCGGTTTGACCAGTCTTCCAGATAATGAAATGCATGATGTCTCAGATGCTAGGGTTTGAATCGTCATCCTGAGCCGCAGTCTCTTCTCCTCATATTTCCTTATGGTTCAGCCTGGCTCATTTCGGCGCTTTAATTGGATCCCTGGGTGGCCTTCCTGTTACAGCAGTGTACACAGCCACAGATGCTCTGCGAGAAGAATAACTGTGTCTCAAGAAGCATAAAGTTCTCAAAGCAGACCCTAAAATGTTCTCATTCTGTAGTTTCCATTCTTAAATCAATACATTTTACATTTATTACTCTGGTTATCTAACTTTGAAAAAAATGTTTTGTTGCCTGCACCAGAGAAACCCGGTGGTGGTGGTGGAGATAGAGTTTGACCACAGTAGAGAAGCCGGTTTGTTGTGGAGTGGCGGTTGCCCTTTGGTTGTGGCCTGGGTCCCAGGCTGCCTGCTTCTCTCCCCGAAGGTCTGTGTCTTTCAGTCTAGGAAAAAGCTTAGTAGGCAGAGTTGAAAATGACAGACTATTTTAAACACACGCTTTATATCCCACAGTTCTGGTTCTTACTTCTATTATCATTACTTATTCATAGACTTTTATTCCCAAATATCATTACCCTTTACAGTAATAGGATCAGCAAAGCGACCACTTAAAACAAAATAAACACACACAGGAATCCGAGGCACAGAAACATTTCCCCCCT